CAGATGTGAGATGCACTTACATATGTAGCTGCAAGAATTTTCAACAATTATTTTTTTCTTTGAGGTTTCAAGTATATGTTCTCTGTCTTCCAAGTTTACTGCCTTGTCTTCATCCTGTTTAGGCTCTCCAAAAGAAAATTAACTTTGTTCATTCTCAGCTATGACAGCTCCACTACCAAGAACAGTCAGGTAAGGAGGGGAAGTACTGGAACCTAGGCAAAAGAGAATTCTGGTATTTCCACAAAAAACTCTCAAAAACATGCATTGCTGGAAAAAAAGAGTTCCCCCACATGTAAATTCATTGCCTGCTTGTCAGAGTTTGACTCAGGTCCGACAACAATGCTCTCGATCCCCCCTCCCCCCAACCCAGGTAGGGAAGGAGAGAGAGAAAAAGAGAGAGACTTGGCTGGATTGAAAACTAAGCTACACAGCTTTAATTAAAACACTAATGAATCATACAAGAAAATATATACAATTATATACAGATATATGGGCAAAAGCCTCTTGCCTCCCCCCACCCCAGCAACTCCCACAGCACTTCCCTGAACTGGGAAGAGTCCCGAGGAATCCCGGGGAGAAGAAGAAGGGAGGAAGTTGTCTTCTGTGATCTCTGACCTTCCTCTGAGCTTACGTAGATATATGGAATGGAATATCTTTGGCCAATTTTGCTGTCCATCTAACTCAGCCTCCTACGGGGGGGTCACAGATCTCCCCATAGTGTCTGAGCTGGCAGAGTGCAGGTGCAGCCTTGAAGCCTCAGTAGTTAGAAAAACATTCCACTGTCTTATCAGCCTAGCAGAACACACTGTTGCTAGTTACAAGAAAGCTTACTGAAGGAAAAAAAAAATCAGTAAAAAGAAAAATTGGCTTCATCCTGGCTCAAACCAGGACACTGCTTGCCTTCACTTTCTTGGTCCCTGTGGTTTGCTAGTCAGCGTGAAAAGGGCACTGGTGAATGAGTTGAGGTACATCCTCAAGGACAAGTTTTCCTCCCACTAAGTGCAACTGAAGCTATGGCTGGCTTCATCCTTTGGCTGAGCATGCAAACATATCAAAGCAGATAGACACAGATTAAAACCCCTTCCCTACATCTAACACAGGTTAAAACAGTACATGTACTTATGATTATGTGCAAGCTGATGAAAAGCTTCAGTTCTCTCCTCCCCACTAAATCCTGGTTTTCTCAAAAATGCCTTTGTCTAAACATGGGCCAAATAAAGTCTGAATTGAAAAGAGGACGGGAAATTAGATCAAACTGAGTATGAAGCATTCTCATTATCCCTTGTGTCAGACAAGTCAGAAGCAGTTACATAATTGGGCCTCTAGACCCTAGGCAGTGAAGTGTTAAGAGAAAAGCAATCCCAGGACTGCATGCTGCGTTTTGACAAATAGAAAAACACAGAAGTAGGCCAAAAGCTGACCATTAATGATAGATTTTAATTGTACCATGGCAAAAAAAGGCTTCATCGTATGGCACACGTGGTCAAAGAGGTAAGAAAGGGTGTAGTGAAAGAAATGGAAAAGTGAACGACAGAATTTTACCTGTGCTTGTATTTACACTTGTGTGAGTCAGAGAAAGTGCACTTGTGAGTGAGTGAGCAAGAATGCAGGGGTATGAGAGGAGTGCAGTGCACAGAAACTCAAGGGGAGGCAGTGGCCCATGAGCAATTGCTATGAAAAGGCATGGGGGTGGGGAATTGTGCACAGCCCTTTTTGACGCTTCTGCTGTAAAAAATAAATAGACCTTTTAATCTCTGTTCTCCTTGAAGCCTTCTCTATTGACCATTCATTTCTTCTTTCCCTTCCCAGCTCTTTACCTCCTCTATATGGCTGATGAATATGCAAATGCATAATCACTTCTAAAATAGCCTATCCTTTCTAAAAACAGGCTATAAATTTGGATCCTAAGCAGCAGATTCTAAAGAGACTATTATACTATATGGCTAGAGGAAGAGGCAAGACCCAAATACCACCACTAGCACACCAGAGTTCTTTGTAACGTGTATGAATGCAGCTAGAAGGGAGGCCCTTCTCATCACAGAGTTAGCAGACAGAAAGGAAAGATCTTCTGCAAAACATACACATGAATCTCATCACAGGCTTCCGCAGAGCACAGTGCACATGCTGGCAACGGGCAGGGCTCCCAGGCACCCAGCGACACAGACCCTGAAGTCCTGTGGGTTTTGGTTTTAACTGATGTCAGCTACTGGAATGGTAGGAGCTCTGGGAAAAACCCAGTGACCTCCAAGTTAAGGGAGGCTGGGCTGGTCCCCCTCTCCACTGCAGCCTCCAGGGCTTTGGGGGGCACCACAGGGGGTGGGTGCAGAGAGTGTCTGTGGGGAGGGATCCAGGTGTCCATACAGGCACCACCCACACAGCTGCTGGAAGCACGTCTGTGCCCCCAGTGAGGGGTGACAACAAGCACAGCCCCCAAAGCTGACCCTGGCAGGTTCTCACAGAGCCAGCTGGCTCAGACACAGCTCAAACAAGCCCAGGGCTCTTAGACCCTTCCCCGCTGTTAAAGGAGATGGCTGTGCCACACACAGGACACTAGCTGGGGATCCATACATTGCACGGCGGCTGCTTCCCAGCTCCCAAGGAGTTGCCTCTTCTGTAAAATAACCACAAGCACTTCTGTACAATACTTGTGTACACTTCCATGTCTGCCATCCCAAGGCCCTCCTCAGGGTCCCGCCTGCTTTACAGCACTCCTGGGTGTTGTTACTGCAGGGCAGAACAGAAGAACTGTTAGCCCAAAATTTATGAGAAGGCATTGCCCTACTATGCAGGGGCTGAAAGCTGAAGGTGCTGGGCCCAAGTGTGCCTGTCCCATCACTCCAGTTTCTGGACTGCAGTGCAGTAAAGACTGGAACCCCACAGGAAGGCATCAGGTCCTGATATGTTTTCAGTTCCCCATGGAAAACTATTCAGGAACAGATACACATCTTCAAACACCAGACTGAACTGACAAGAAGGCACCAGCTGGAAACAGAGCTCCTGCTCAAACTTTGGACAAGACAGAAGTGAAAACATGGGTTGCAACAGCTTTGAAACCACTGTACCCAAAGCAGCCAGGACACCACCACATTATGCACAAGTTGCCCCTGGCATAGTGGGAGCATGTATCACCCTGGTGGGCACAGAGATGGGAAGGTAGGAGTGATGTACAAAGCACCCTCAAAAAATAGGATACAGGGACAGAAACTTGGACGTGGCTCTAATCCCAAGTATTGTACCCTGAACGTGTCACAACTCTTCATTCATTGTATTATTATTTACCTGTAGTGAATATTACTTGTATAGTTAATAGGAGTAATATGATAAAATAAATATATTCAGGACATGCTATAATGGTAGAGACACCTAGATAAACATAAAGTTATTTAAAATACATCCTTGTAGAGATTTTTATTTATAAACAAATCCTTGGAATCTTAAATAAATGCTCAAAGTTGGTTAGTTTTTGAATGGGAACATTACCGAAGTCCTTCCTTTTCCCTCTTCCTTCTACACAGACATACCTTGCAAAGCACTACAAACTGCAACAGCTCAGCAAAAGCAGGGATGACAGAAGGAAGGAATGCTGTAACACAATTTATTAAAATCAGTTTATAAAACCCTAGGACCAGTTCACAAAGAAGAATGGAGGTCTTGTCCAACACTTCAAGGGTGGGAACAGGGCTCCACAGAGGAGGTCCAAAGCCTCAAGCTGATCTTTATTGGAGGTAACAATATCTACGTGGCAGATTTGATGATTTAGATCCTCTCTAGAGCCTTGCTTTCCTTTTTGTCTTTTAGCAATCTTCTAAGCCTATTAACACACCAGTATTCCATGCACCTACCACAGAGTAGTTTTTGTCTGCATCATTGGAAGCACATAATTTTTGTCCTAGACCCTGATAACACTTTCACAAATATTTTCTTCACCTCAACTAAAAAAAAACAACCCAAAATACAGCAAGAGGAAATATTTTGATCACAAAATGAAACAAATTAGCAAACCAAGGCTAGGATCCCATAAAACAAGATCTAGAATAGAAAAAAACAAAAGAGTGAATATACTCCTGTGAAATCTCCCCTAGGTATTGAAAATCTGTAGATCCAGAAACACCTGACAAAACACTGCAAATGAAGCAGCATCCTCCCCCTCCCTGATCCTAGGAAACCAATCAACCCCCTGAAATTAGCTATGATCAGCATATCTTAGGTACATGACCTGGAGATAATTACCAGAAGGGATGCTGGCAGACACCAGGGTCCATTCAGAGAACATACACCTGTCACTTCTTCACAGATTTCAGAAGCCTCTCTTCTAGAGCAGTCTCTTGCATACAATTGCATGTCCAGCTGCATGCCCTAGAGGTTGTGGATCCAAGAGGAACAGCAATATTCTCTGCAGGACACTTTCAACTACTTAAATCCTTGCCAAACTATTCACATAAAGTACCATTTAAATTAAAAACATTGTGAGAGAGGGATCTAACAGTGGCAGAGACATGACATAATGTTTACAGTTCAGCAAACTTACATGTCATTAGATGAGAATCTATGACAAACTCAAATCTCCACATGAGGTTACATGAAGACTTTATGAAAATGGAAATGTATGGATACTTTTCCTGTAACAGGAATAACTGTTTAGGTGATGCTCTATAACTATAGGAGGTAAGTTTTGAAATATTGGCTGTTCTTAACAATTCTAATATGAAATGCTGTCCAGATGAATCCAAAATAGAACTGCATCTGTGCTACTCATCTCAAGAGCAGTGACATTTTTCTCCTTTCTCAGTGCTCATGTTTGAACTATTAAAACACTCCTAGCAGAACACTTGGCATTTTTTCTATTCCCAATTTCAAAACAGTAGCAGAAGTTGCTCTTGCAGGTAGCTGTCACAGCCTCAGTGCATTAGTATGCCAAGGCTGCCTCCTGTTCTCTCCCCTCCTAGGATACAGTTAAAGCCAAAACAAAAACCTGTAACACTTCTGGTATTACTGTATCCTCCCTAGCAATACACAACAGAACCATGTCATATAAATTAGCCTTTAAAAGCAAAGCTCTGATTCAAGTTAAAAAACGCAATCTTTCACACTGCTCCCTCTTTGCAGGCTGGCCTCATTGCCTTTGTGGTACCGACTGAGTTGATCATACTGATTTTAAGTTGCTCCTTTTAACTTTTACCCTCCACCCACAGGTCCTTGGCTTCTCTTCTCATTGGTTATTGCACCCTGGGGCTGCAGAAGAAGTGCCTGCCTGCTTTTGCTTCTTACGGCGTTTGTTCAGGAGGCGGTTGTTGGATGTTTTCAAGTCTTTAATTTTCACCTGATCATAGTCCACCCTCATGGTAGCCAAAGCGCTGGTCATCTCCTCCTGAAACCAAGGAAGCAATTTATTGAAAACCCTGAGGCAAAGAGCACACAGCCACCCTACACTACAGCCAGGAGATGAATGTACAGTTGCACTACGGCCAGAAACAGCTGAGCCCTTTCTGCTGCACTGGACTATGACTAAAGGCTTCGTTCTACCCACGGACTCATTCAGGACGAACTATTTATAGTGTTTCATATGTGAGCATGCAAGACCACACTCTGCTGGCCTAAATTCCACCATGTTCCTTGCCCAGTACTTCTTACTGGTTGGCTCTGGGCCTTCACCAGCTACTAAGCCTGGGCTTCATTCCTCGGTTACCTAACTAGGTTGGGCAGGAACTAGAATAAAGAGCCCACACCAAGTTGTTTATAAGTATGTGCTTCAAATTCACATTTAGTTTGAATTAGTATCTAGGTGCAGGCAAAATTTAAACTTTTAATAAAGCTGTGAGAAAAATTCTGCTTAAATGAATGAATGTCTTTGCATTTAGTTAAGGAAAGGAACAATTATTAAATATGATAGGAATGCTGGTGGCCCAAGGGAATACCTCAGTGACCTACACAAAGCACAAGCATAAGAAGTCCTCAGAAACATGGAAATGAGGAACACTAAGTGAAAACATCCATATGATCTCTTTCACTTTGGGAGGCAAATGTTGTCTAAGTTCTATGAAATTTTACCACTGCATAGTTCAACACCTGAGACTACACACCAGTAATTTAAATAAAACCAGTAAGCAGTAAAGTGTGCTACAGCAATTATCAAAGTGTCAAGCGTAGTAGATGCAAAAAAATCAGAATTAATTGTAAAAGCATGCCAACCTGATTAAGGCCAGCAGGAAAGAGTTAAACCTTGCAAACAACTTTTAGTCTGCCCTATAGTTTCTCTTTGCAGGAAGCATTCAATTGTCAGTATAAAGAGCAGGTGAGGGATTAAGGGAAAGACAGATATATTTTTATCTCCCCCTGCCAAATGTCACAAGAAGTCAAGGCTAAGGTTATTTCATGTGGCTTTACAGTAAAAGACAGGGTAGAAAACCAGAATTCAGCTCAACCCTCCCACGCTGTCCCCCTCCATTTTCAACCCATTTTTCACTTTGCCATAATTAACTTCAAAACCCCTCAACAGTGTCCCTTCTTCTCTGTGGTTACATACAGTGGCTCAGCAAGCTAACAACTTTGATCATAACCATCATTTTTGTTGGTATCTTGTCCAGCTGGAAGGCTCTTTTTTAAACAGTTATCATATAAACTACTGTTCCAACCTGGGCTGTTTGTGCTTCCTTTGTTTAACATGGTTACATACAAAATAGCCATAACCTCCAAGGAAATACGCAAACACGGGGAAGACAGCACATTTAAATTCTTACCAGACTTGACTTCAAGAAATCTGAACTATGATTGACTCACTTTAACTTCATCCCAATGGTCTTTATCCTCTTGCAGGACCCGTGCAGTATGAAGAGGAGTTGGTGGCACTGCCATTGATCTCTGAGAAAATGGAAAAATAACAAAATTAATGTTCTGCAAAATCACACTTGGAAGTGACTGCTTGCTCTTCTATGTACATGGAAGGCATAGAAGTTAACAGATGTCCTTTGGTTGCCCTAATTATTCATTCATTTATTACTCTACAAGCTAGCTCATGGGTGAGGTAGAAAAGGAGTATAGTCCTCACAGGACAGTAACTTTAAAGAACTAAAGGAGAGATAGTGCTAAGCTTCTTTCACTCAGCTTCCTTCCAGTCCAACCAATGAACTTGTGATGGATAAATTTTTATGTACATTTTAGATTTTAACTGTCATATCACTATACATTAGTCAATATTCTGAAGTGGTCAATTTGACCTTTATCTTCTAGGATTTATTGTAAGGAAAATTTTGTTGCACAGAAACGTTAACCAAGATCACCATTTTACCAGATCTAAGTGTGCCCCAAAGAATATATACAATTATTCAAAGTAAAGCACAGTTCAGAAGACAGTGCATCACTTGAGATGCCCTTCCACATAAAACTGAGATCTGTGCTCTCCTGCCATGAATGATGAGTAGATTCTCTAAATTAGAATAAGGTACAATTTCTAAAGCAGGAAGCACAGCTCCCTAGCTAAATTCAGCAAGAGCCATGACGTTTCTTACCAGTCCAAACTATACTATTATTTTTATATTCTATCCTCCTTAAGCTTTCTAACCAGACTTGGTGTCAACTGCTGTGGCACCTTCACCAGGTGCAGCCACATGTCAACAAGTCTAAGGAGAGCCCTGTACATGTCTTTGTAAAATAAGCACTACACTGGAAGCAGTGCTTATACTCCACTGAGCTAAGAGCAGCACTGCAGTAGTCACGGAAGTGGAAGCAGGAATCATGACTCCCACGTCCTCTGGAAAAGGACTCTAGCTGGCTAAGGTATAGTTTTATCAAGTACAGGTGGGAGGTGGAAATTGGAAAAACAACAGACTGGCTTTAGTGGTGCCCCTATAAAGGTGTTGAGGGTACCCTCCTATCTGCTGTCAGCTACTTCTCATTGAATAAATCCAATCTACAACCTAACTAGAGGATTATGGGCTCCAAACCAAAACAGACAGTTTTTGCGTAGTCCTCAAAAATAGTTCTGCTAGCTAAGAAAACAAAAAAAAGAAGAAAAAAGAAAAAGAAAACAGAGGAGAGACAAACCCCTTCCTCTGCTGCTGCTGGTGTGTGGCATCTTCCCATACATGTTCCCACTCAGGGATTTAGGAAAAGTAAAGGAGGAACACGGACATTCACTGTCTTGGTCTTTCCCTCTCTCTCCTTCTGCCTCATGGGAAAAAAAGGTTCAGAAAGAAAAAGAAAACAGAGGAGAGACAAACCCCTTCCTCTGCTGCTGCTGGTGTGTGGCATCTTCCCATACATGTTCCCACTCAGGGATTTAGGAAAAGTAAAGGAGGAACACGGACATTCACTGTCTTGGTCTTTCCCTCTCTCTCCTTCTGCCTCATGGGAACAATAGGTTCAGCAGAAAAAATGCCAACCTGCAGCTCCTAGAGCATTCCTCCAAGAACAGTATTTTAGCATGGCTTTTTGGTGCAGCAGAGTCTATAGACCTTGTCTCTAATCTCCTCCTTGTTAATTGGTTATATGCATATTTCCAGTAACATGTGTCGCTGTAGGTGGTAGCTTCCTTAGCTATTAGGCACTCACTCTGTGAAATTCATCGCCTGCTGACTTCAGGAACACCTCCTCCTTGGGTCTCCAAACACTTGGAGCTGGAGGTATTTATTCTGAAGAGCAATTACATTTTTATTGGGTTAAAAGAGAAACATTGCCTAAGTTCCATTCCACTTCTACAGTGTCTTTGTAACCTTAATATCTCAGCTTTCACAACTTTAAATGAAGACATCTATCTATTTCATCAGGATGTTACACAGCTACATTTCTGTATGATTCTACAGGCTTTCAGATTTTCAAACAGGCAGTATAGAAATGCTGGTTATTAGTCACACCTGTTTCTGCCCCTTCCCCTGAGGAGCAGCATAGACAGGTGTAGCATCATGGAAGAACAGGGCATTCTACAGCACAAGTGACTCATGATTTTTTGGGCAGTTAGAAACAACACTGATGTCCTTTCAGGCATAAATGTGAGAAGCATAATCTACTATTTTGAGTGACATCTACAGAGCCAAGATGATATCCTGAAAGTCAGCCTGCTGACTCCTGAGATTATTGCCCCATGTTTGAAATAATCAGTCATAGAATTAGAGTATTTTATTCTTCATTCCCCAAAATTATTTTTTTAGGAAATGTAAATTCTACCAAGCCATAGAATGAAACTTGAATTGGGACCATTAATAGCTCTGTGTGCCACCCCATCTGGCAGCCTCTTACAGGGCACTAAGCCAAGACCTTTGCTCCTCTCCCACACGTTTCCAAACTCTGCCAAGGATGAGAATTCCCACTAAGCACAGGACTGTGTTCACACTAACACAGCTATGAACAATGGTGCCCAAGACCACTAATAATAGCTCTCTTTAAAGCCTGAACTGATGAAGTAAGTACATATTGTTTATTTTTATATTTTTAAAGAGAGTAACACATGCATATGCTGCAGAATCAACAGTGACTGCCTGCACACAGAATATAGACACATTCATCTTTTGCTTCCAAGGATTTTAGTGTGGGTGTCTCTTTGTGTCCTCTGGTAACACCAAGAAGAACTGCAGTTCTATAGGCAGATGATCTGTGGAGGGCACAGTACATTAATTAAGCTATTAACAGTAATCAGCATTGTTGTCTTGCAGTGCTATGTGGAGCTACATGTAAATTCTGTAGGTAAGAATTCATCTTGCTTTCTTGTACAAAGAAATACGAAACTCACATTAATCCAAGGATGATTCATAAACTGTGAAACTGTCATCCTCTCTGTTGGGTCAGTCTTCAGGAGGTGGCGAATCAGTTGTTTGGCTGAAAAACAGGACCAACATGGCATGTTGTAGCCTATTTTTGTGTTGCCAAATAACCTAGAGAGCACAAGGACCTGCTGAATGAAGAAAGATAATTTTGCAGAACTCAAAATACCTGTCTATTGCTGTTACCATGTTAAGAAGCCATGTGCAGTGTGGTGTGTTGTTCTCAGTGTAGGAGGGAATCACGAACATCCACTTTCAGGCTATTGGTTTGAGCCCATTCAGGTCACAGCTGAACAGCAGCAGCTTTTGGTCAACAACTTATACAAAATAAATTGTTGACCTTGATTTAAGTGGTGGCTGGCAAGTTCCCACATCACAAAAAGCTAGCATGAAAACTTGCCATCCTTGCTAGCTGTATCACCAAGGGGGGCAAAGATTGAATGAGTTCTTCAGACAGTTTGCCCTTCTTCCAACTCGGCTTGCTTTGCAGCTGTCCTGTCAGTCTCCTTTCTCAGGATTAAAGACTTCTGCTTCCAGAGGGTTTAATCTTGGCATTCACTAGCACTACGTGGAATCTGAAAGAATGTTTTCAGTTGTTATTTACTTTCTGTAATACTTAGGTTGATGGCTAGTGTTTGAGTTCCCAGTCTTTCCTGTGTCACCTCACAAAAAAATAATTTTAATTAAAATAAAATGTGAAACAAAATCTAAGGCAGGTTTCTACAAGCAGTCTCTTGTAAGGACTTCACCACTGCACACCATGCACACACTCATCAGTAGCCCTGAGCACTGTTACCTTCCTCCGATACTTCAGCCCACTCTGGATTGGGAAACCCATATTGCCCCATCCGAATTCTTCTCTTCATCCCTGGAGAAATGGCTTGACCAGTGTTTGAGTAGAATGGTGGGAACCCACACAGGCTGCAAGAGTGTACAAGAGAATTCTTTTAACTAGGAAAGTCCTTTCATCTCTTAGTAAGTCCCATACAAGTTCATACTCTTCTGTACATTGCATCCTAGTGACTAATAACTTGTAACAGCAGATTTATGAAGATGTGCCCTTTTTCTGTTCATCAAACCTCTTTTCAAATACTTACAGAATATATGTGATAACACCCAATGACCACATGTCACATGACTTGTCATACTTCTCAGGACCAAGGACTTCTGGTGCTGAAGAAGATTAAAACCAGAAATTAAGAGTAGCAGGCATTTCGTTTCATCTCCATCACCTTGCTAAGTAACCGCATATTTCAACAACAAATACTGGAGGCACTGAAAAAATGCAGCTCAATGCAGGAACTGGGTAGTATCATCTATTGACAAGTTTCTAAACACATCTAATGTAGCTTTAAAAAGGAGGAATAGATCTGGCAAAATGCCCTACTCTTACCTTAGTGTCTCTGCTCAAGAGAATACTAAGATTACAGAAAAGCAGAAGGAGCTATAGCTAAATGTGTACAGGGAGACACTGCAGTGAAAGAGGCAGGAGCATATGTTCCCAAAATCAGAACAGAAAGAACCTACTTCAGTTGTGATAACACTTTGAACATTACCTAGGGTAGAGGGTGTTTAGCTCCAGCAACTACAGAGCAATGTATTTTTCTTTGGCCTCCAGACCATTAAGTTTTTTTCACTAAGTAACAAAATTATAGAGAAATATATTTAGAGGGATTTTTTTTTTCCCTGAGGGCAAGTGAACTGGCAGGAACCTTGATTTTGTAAGGAAAATAATTCCCTAAACATATGAGCAATTATGTTTACAAAAAGGTGCTGAGAAGGGAAATGCCAGCCTGTTTATATGCATAAAAACATATATGTGTAAATTCTGTAAGATTGTATCACTAATCCCAGCTTACAAAAATGTAAAAGAAAGCATCAGGGGGAAAAAAAAAAGCTATTGAAATTCTCTGCTAACAACAAATAACAAGATCTTTTAATAAACAAAACTATAAAAACTTACACTGTACAAGAGAACTACTTCTTCCAAAAAAAATTAAGCCTTTTCCTTCAAAGAAATTCCAAGCCCAGACTGCCTCAGTCATACCATATGGTGAATGACTATTAACTCAAAGACCAAAAGGATGTACTCTAAAATGAATGCATAAAGGACAGTCTGCTGTGGCATCCATTACACAGTGCTCCATCTTTGGATAGAATGCAGGCCAAAATTCAGCTGTGACTAAATCATATTGGTCTTTTATTACTAATTCCTCCATTTGCCACCTTTAAGAAGCTTTACAGCTGAGGCAATACTCTCCTTGTTCACTTCTATTGCATTAGTTAAACAAAGGGAAGTTTTTCAAGGAAAACACCCAAATCATCATGAAGCTGAGTTCAAACAATGGCTTTTATTGCATCTTCCAGAGGAGATATCAAGATCACTTCAAGTGTAATCAGAAGCAACACATTCTCTCTCCTTGAACCTCATTTGCAGCCCCTGTTAAAGAAGTTTCCCCTGTAATCAAGAAAGCAAGCAGGAGCACTGAACTGTACTGGTACCAGACTAGGTTTAGGATGGATGTCAGTTTAAATTCTGCAGGCTACCTTTTTGCATTGCATCCACAACAGAAGATTCCCCATCCATTCCTGTAGTCCACAGGCCCACTACAAGGGGATGGAGGAGAGAATGAAACACAAAAGAAATGCATCTTGGATAACTTACCCACATAATAAGGAGTGTAACAGGGGGTCTGCAGTGCATTTTGTACAGTGGTTTCTTTGGCAAAGCCGAAGTCTGTGAGTTTGAGCACAGTATCCTTCTCTTTAGACGTGTAAAGCAGGTTTTCAGGCTGAAATACCACCAAGAGAAAGGATAAACTGGACCATGAAGAGATGTCTCCCATGAGCTGAAAGGTCAAGCCATTCCCAGTTGTCTGGATCACACCAGTATCTGGGTTTTCTTCTCCTACATCCCTGCCATGCCAAGCAGAAAATTCCCTCCCAACATGTAGCACCTTCGCTCAGACTAAGGATCAACATCCTTCTCAACATGGTATTTAGGAGTGCAATCACAAGACTCATCAGGTCCACTAGGCATTAAGTCTGGCTTCCTGAACCTCTCTAGTTCACTGCACTTACTAGGACTGTTCTGTCTGATCAACACCAGTTGGTCTGACAGCACTCTGTACCACACTCAGGTAGCTGAGGTGGAAGATGAGAAGTCATCAGCAAAACCGTCTACAAGCAGCTGCCATAACTCCATCAGAATCAACTGATACAGACACAGTCCCCTTCCAGCTCCACCCCCTCCTCTGTATGCTGAAACCTGAGTTGATGCCTGTCTTGCTCCACACTCCATTAAGGCTCTCCAAAACCAGAAGTGGCACAGAGGGAATTAAAAGCTCTTGGGCACAAGAACAGGGATAACAGCACATCTCCAGAATCTGCAATTGTTTGAACTTGTTTTCCAGTTTCTCAGTCATAAGGAAGTTCTGCCCTCTCTCAGGTTAGTGTTTAGGGAAATACAGAAAAAGGGCGGGCTTGAAAGAAAATAAGATTTCGGATTTACTAAGGAATTTGAACCATTTCTGTGTTACTTCACAAAGTGTGTGTAGGAGGTTTTGGGGGCTAAGCACTTCAGTTTCTGTGCTGGTGAAAGGCAATGGCACATAGCTCCACAGAGGTGAACAGATTTTTAGTCTCTGAACTCTGAAGTCATTCTTCAGTTACTACCTAAAGGACTGTCCAACATCCCCCTCAGTGACACTAAGCAATGGCAGTTCTCTTCCCAGCTAAACACACAGAACCATCTGCAGAAAATTCACAAATTTAGAATTGTGGAATCAATCAGATGCCTCAGCCTATCAGCCTGTGACCTGCTCTCCAGCACATCCCACCACGCTGCTGTATCACTGCTTCAGAAATGCCTTGCTGTAGCTCTCATCTTTGCTTGTGCTGTGCACCTTACAGAATGAAACCAAAATGCAATACTGCAAACCCTGTCAAATCTCTACAAGAACTGGGTACAAACCTTAGCTAATAAAATACACTGTCCCATGTGATAGTAACTGAAATCTTCCAGTCTTCCCTAATACTTACATATACTATTAAAATGGGTTGGGTGCATGGAATTGGCATTACCCCTCTCATATATGCAGTTTCTTTTGTTTCTGAAGGGTACTTTTTTGTGTCTGGGTTTTGTTTTTTTTTGCTTGGTTTGGGGTTTTTTTTAGCCAAGTATGATTCAGAAAACAACTAATAACTGGCAAAGACTGTACATGGCACCTAGATATAGCACCTAGTATAAGTTCACTTGATGCAGTGTTGTTTTCTTGTCAATTAACTGGATTGCAAGTTGGAGGTACCTCTCCAATTAACCATCTATCACCAGATTATTCTGCATTCTGTACACAACTGGAAGGCTTTAGCACACACAGATATTCTGACCTTTGACTAGCTGAAAACTAGTTGCCAAAAGATCCCTTCTGACACTGGCAGAGGAATAGGAACACATTGACCATCTGACTGTACTCCTATTTAAACCACCACTGCCCATTTATTTTTCTGCCTTATGCTCTTTTCTTCCTGCCCAAACACCTTCAAGGCCTCACCTTGACATCTCTGTGGGCAATGTTCATTGAATGCAGATACTGGATGGCTGTTCCGATGTCTCTCATTATCTCAGAGGCCTCTACAAATACAATTTTAGAGAAAGGTCACATTAACATTCCCACTGTAACTCAGGGACATGCTTGGGAATGCTCATGACTTACAAACACCTTGTTGGAATACAGGGCTAGCGTCAAGACTAGAAAACCTAAAATTAGCCTTAACAGCTGTGTTTTTGTTTTGCAGGCAATCATTCCCCCCCAATTCCCCAGCTGCTCAGCCCTCCTCCTGAGTAGGCACTGCAACTGAATGGTTGAGGCTCTTAATTTTTATGGGCTTGTAAATTTGTGCTTTAATTTGCTCACCAGAAAAGCAGCAAAAGCAGAGCAGGTATGCAAGCAACAAGCAAGACTGGAGAAAGAAGCCCCAACCTGGACATAACCCTGATTGTCCAGGACTTGTCCTTGGTTGTCCAAGACAGAAGTTTAACTTTCAGCTTCTAGTTCAGGGGCAATAGGAGGATCTAAAAGATTTTCTAAAAATAAAGCAACATAACAATATAGTAATTTTAGGATAGGTCACTTTTTAATTCCTCACTGCTTTATAAGTTTTTCCTCAGGAGAAACAAAATCAACAGTTCTATTCTGCAAAAGCCAAATGGTTTCTCAAATTTAATAAAATCCCAGTGGTAAATTTGAGTGGTTGGTGAGCTGCCTTGTACAGACTCTTGAAGTCTGGAAGAGTTCAGTTACTCAAGGAGAGGTATCAGAGCAGTGAGGAGTGACATTTCCACTGTACCAAGGGAGCATCATATTACATCCCTATTGACAGGGAA